AGGACCACTTAGTTATATTTTTGGCTGGCAATACCGATTCGGAAGCCTGGCGCCTTGCGGAAGAAGCGTATTAATTTTCAACAAACTCCACTTTGATGTGGACGATCATTAAGACTAGTCTTCAGAATTGCTAGTGGGTCTTTAGTTGTTATTGTTTACGATTGAAGATTATCTTTAAATCCCCCTCTAAATAAGTACTTTTGCAATTTTATTCACCTGCATGTATGCGTGGGGAAGCGTGATGTGACCAACCAAACCATGCGATGTCTCATTCGGATAGCAAAATGAGGGCCTTCTATGCACCTTCGTACCTCTTCTAATTCTATACTTAATCCAGGAATCCCATCCATAAAGATTTCTATAAGTGTCTTTGAGGTCAGGGCTAGCAGAAAAGTATTCAGCCATACATTGTCTAGCCAACAATGCTGATAAAATTTATGAGTTAGATATATTCGGGAATTTCGTCAAAGTGTGATTTCTTGCTTTTACGCTTTCCTTCCTAGCATTGGGTCTTCGAAACATACCTTTTGTTTGATAAAAGGCATCTCATAAGCATGGGGAATTGCTCAAATTGTATAAAAATATTATTCTTTAAAAATAAGTTTTCATGACCTTAAAGTCTTACACATTTTTGCTACTGCTAACCTATAGGCTTAGAAGTTTCGCATTTGGCTAACAGGTCGTTCAATAGGGCTGCAGGAAAAACTGGGAATATGAATTCTTATTCTTTAATCTATTCGTCTTACGGCATATTTTATTTAATATATATTTCGTTTATAACTAGGCAATATAGTCGATTGCTTAGCAAAGGGAACTTTGCTTCATCGACAATCCCATCACAGAAATGTGATTTGGGAAAATTGCCTAATAGTCCCAAGGACACTCGTGGAAATGTGGCGGATTATGCGCTGCACTGTCATGGTTCGAGTCCTGCTAATGAGACCTATGCGAAAGCGAAACTTCTCTCCACTTCTGCCTTGATGATAATAACTTTTGGGGAAGCAAGTATATGTTAAATTCAATGGTAACGCAATGTCTACTCATATGAGTGTTGGAAAATTCAACACCTTATCACCTC